TCGCAACACGATAACGATATCATATTTTATTATTATTATTATTTTTTTTTTTTTTTTTGATATTTCGTCGGCACAAAACTACTTTTTATCGTTACTGTATAACCAATTATAAAATAATAAACAAATATTCATAACAAACAAAACGGTGAAGGACCCTATTATACAACACATTAACGCAGTGCATTTTTTAAAGGAATTTTCATTGAGCGACAATTTTTTTCTGAACATAGTCACGTTCATGTTGGCTTCACATAATTTCACTCGGTCTTTCAAAATACTATCGACTAACCGACAAAATATAATCACTGGGTGACAATTCTGTCTCCTAGTTAAATAGTTAAATAAATGCATTGCATTAACGCGCCAACAATTTCAGAAGACGATCGATGATAAACGGTTATAGTACCAGCTTGTAGCTAGTACACATTGGACGAATGCAACTGCCCCAATAAGTTGCTTGTAATATATAACAATACGGCCGACCAATATGCTAATGTTTCAACGCGATTATACTAACTGATATGTAAAGAGTATTGTTATAATTCCAAAACAAATCAAAACAAATATTTACCTCTGTTGTATATGTAATTCGGCATGGTTCATACGATCGTCGCAACAACTAACACTAAATACGCGGTACAATGCGAAGCAATTTTAAAAACGAAAAATCACGGAGCACGAGTGTGCACCGGCGACGCGAAACGGATACGAGAGAAATCGAAAGAAAAGTTTTGATAATCAATAACTCCGAAAGCCGTCGCAACCACTGCGACTACTGTTGGTTACTATCGTTCGTTGTACGCTTTGAGTATTTTTTTTTTTTTTTATTACACCGGTATAACAGACGTTATGCATTTACACCACCACCGCCGCCGTCACCGTCGTTACACACATGTGTTACCACTACCGCGTATCGCCAATGACCGCTTTCGATAAACTACAGGTATCGCGGTCGTGTTTACGTTCGCGCAACGTACCCCCCCGTTTTATTGTTCTACCTACTTACCTACCAACCTACTACCCGTCTACTGCCGTCGGCCTTTTTTTATCAGCACGCGAATCGGCATTGAACTGCGCAAGCGCGGACCAGCAATCGTTATCACGTAGTTCGCGCGACCTAGGGTTGATGAAAATATTACGATTGTCGTAGTACCACGGGGACCATTAGCCACCGCGTTCACTACCTGCCGAGTACTTGACGTACAATCATAGACGCCACGAGTGAGTTGTTGCGGCGGCTATCGCGTAAAATAATCGGAACACGACTCGTGCTACACGAATTCCGTGCGCGTTCGTTGAAAACCCACTGACGAATCCGAGCACTTGGTGGTTATCTGCTCCGGATTAGGTGCCTAATATTAATATAAACGTATTATATCTACAGTTGGATATACTGTGAAACAATGCTTTTTTATATGCGCATTATTTAATGGTTTGCGGTTTCTGTCTTTTTACTTTAAAAATAATATTCAATATACATATATTAATATTCAATGGATCCGAATCTTAACCTGGAGAAGATAAAAATTTTGTTTAACTACGACCACTTTTAATCCATCCTGTGGCGTATATAAGAGGGAATGTCTAGTGGACTGCAGCCCCCCCCCCCCCCCGAAATGCTTACAAAAAACTTAAAAATTATTATAAACATAGGTATGTAATGTATTTTATGGTTCTTTATGCTAATTTAGAATTTTCGTCCAATGTCAAATCGTATTGGGACATTCTGTAAATGAAATGTAGATAAGTACCTACTGTGTCTTGTTAGTAATTCTTAAATAGCAGTGGAAATTTAACTCTGTCCATAATAGTCCCTCCCGAAAATATTTTCTATATATGCTACTGAATCCATCATTCTCCATTATTTGTACCAAAAAAATTAGATTCTTTACATATGTATTAAACAATTTTTTTTTAGTTGCTATTTATAATATATTAAAACTGCTTAACAAATACATTTAGCTTTAAACTTAATTATGCATATACATTAATTAGTATTAATCTTAATAAATATATCTATACTTGAACGAATATAATAAAAGAAAATACATAGATAGGTATGTATATTGAACTTTCAACCAAAATTCCCCAAAATATTTATTGAAATACGAAATAGGTGTACCAAAGTCTGAAAATAAAAAAACAGCATTCGTATGTCGATAAATTATGATATTTTAAAAATATTGACACATTTAGAACTACCCGAGATTTACTTGATATTATATATATTTTTTTCTACACCCCTTAAAACATTATATCAAAAGTATCAAAACTAAAATAATAAAGTAGAATTCACCAAAATTATTTTTTAACTACCAATATAATTAGTATATATAAAATATAAATTTATTTATTGCATATATTTTTTTTATAAATTAAAACTGAAAACAAAAATATAAAAACTATTAAAACGGAAATTATTTGTTTTTAATGGATATGTTATATGTCTAATTATAATTTGGCTAAATATACGTTTATTTATATTAATTTTAAAATTGTTTATTTTAACGAATTTATTATTCACTAACATTTTATTTTCATTATATTTAAAGTAATAAACAAATTCCTTAAAATAATATTTAAAATTTTAAAATATGGATCAAAATTCTACTGTTGAAACCGAAAAATCTATCCTAAAGTTAACCAGTAGCTGTAATCAACTGACTCACTTACCTAATTCGCATATACATCAACAAAATGATAATAATACTTTGAAAAAAGTTATGTCGATGAATTGCAATGAAATCAGAGTTAATCATAAGGATAAAATGGACCAAAGAGCATTTACTGCTAAATTGAATATTTATAAAAGTATGCAAAAGAAATTTGTTGCTGCATCTAATAGCCTAAAACTAAGTTATGAAACACTTAAAAATCTTCAAATGGATTTATTGTCAGATAAAAACCAGTTGAAATATGATGAACCTGAAATTATAGTAAATATATTTTATTTTTACTAAATAAATTTTACAAAAGTTTGCTTGGTCCAATTTAGGTAAAAGAAAATATCGAAAAAATATTCGGAATAAAATTTCCAAAATTAAAAATTTTATCAGAAGTAAATCATCAAATATTTGTTCCGAATCTCGATATGTGTTTGGAACAAGATATTAAATTTACGTCTGGTCATTTAAAGTTTGATTCAGCAATACAAGAAGCTTATGAAGAGGTACGAAAAATATTTTTAGAAATTTCAGAAACTAATATTAAGTATCATTATTGGCTGAAAAATATTATTAAACCGAATGAATTCAATGATTTATGTGATGTTAGAAGATTTTTAATGCAACATTTATTTAATAAAGAACACGTAGATGATCAATTGGAATCGAAATTAAAACATTTCTACAACAATTTACAACTTAAATTAATAAATATTGTGAATGAAGTTGACGAAATTCTTAAGAATGAAAAATGCTCAGAAGAAAAAACAAGATAACGAAATAAGAAATAATTGTTTTGGGAATTTAGAGACAAACGCTGAAGTAATTATTGAAGATTATAAACAAAAGATGAATATACAATTTGAGATATTAGAAATGGAGAATAAAAACTTAAAAGAAAAAGAAACGGAATTATCTAAACAAATCGAAACTCTATTTGGACAATTGACATTAAGAAATAAAAAATTAATTGACACTAAGAACCATCTATCATTATTAATGAAAGAGAAAAAATGATTTAATTTGCCTAATAAAAAAGATGGAAATAAAAGAAGAAGGCTTTCAAACACTTCAAAATAAGTTTTCAACAGAGAAAAAGAAAAATGAACACTTAAGAGCCATTATAGCAAAAGAATATGAAACTGACGATTCTAATTTATCAATAAAAAAAAACTAATATAAAAATCTGACTTATTTATAATTTATGTACGACCTTAAAAACTTAACTTCAGAATTAAAATATATAATAATAATTTGTCAATCAATTATAAAAAGAGGTTTTAAATAATCCACTACTTACCTAACCTGATTAGTTAAACAATCAAAATGATAACGAAATTCTCATAAATATATAGTATAACAATTTATGGTGATTAATGTATTTCTTTTCTACAATTCTGATTTTCGATTATACTCACGAATGAAGTTTAACAATATAAAACTTGTTTGTTTTAATTTAAAATGCACATTTTGATAACTTATTTCAAAGGATTTTGAAATTAATATAATTAAGAACATATTTGTTGAATGTTTTCGAATGTTCGACGAAATGAATTCAAATATGTTACAACATTATATGATATACAATAATTAAATATAGAATGTACTATTTATGAAACAACTAATAAAAATTAATTTTGAATTTAAAGTACCTCTTATATAAATTAAATAAATACTTAAAATGAAAGTAGCATCTAATGATGACATTTTTATAATAAAAATTCAAAAAAATAAATAAATAAAATATATGTAAATAAAATTGTTTATTGAACATCAATTTTTAAATAGAGAAATTATATATACAATTACTATCTCAATAATCATTACGATAGTTAAAATGATTATTTGAATAAAAAATATAAATAATAAAAGCTATATTTTTAAAATACCATGTATGACTTTTTTGTTGTTAAAATGTATCTTCCTAATAAAATGTCTTCGAAATATTTTTATTGAAAAGTCTATGTAGCTTATAAGCACAGTGTGAATGTTTGACGGATACTTGTCTCATTTGTTGGATCATCTCATTACACATTATTATATTATTCATCAGTGTTGCATTATTAATATAATTTGGAAGTTAATGATAAATTATTCGAATATTAAATAAACTTTAACTAGTGATTTATTTTAAGTATAATTAACAATTAATAGAAATTAAATAACCACGTAAAACAAAATAGCCAATAGATTTAAATTTTTTATTGTGAACTCATTAATATAATTACTTTTAAATACATATATATTTAATAATTTTCAAAGTAAAACTAAATAATATTTTTTATTGCTCAAAATTATAATAATTGTAATTTATAGGTTTTCTTCGAACTATCTTACCTGTTGACTTTTTTGGACTAAATTTATAATTGTTTTTCAATTCTGAACTTGGTACTTCAAAAATGGCACTGTTTGGTGTCTGATCATCGGTTGGCGTGACAAGGAATTGATCAGGTGAAGTTGACATGATTCTTTTTAACCAAACTTTTTCCTAAAAAAAAATTTAATATTTCATTCAATAATTATATATACAAAAATAAATAACAAATAAACATATCGATATCGATACAAAAATAATTGTATTTGTTAAATAATAGGGAATATGTTTAAAATCTATTAGTTTACTTAGGAGATGTAACTTAATTCAAAATAACATTTTAATATTATGTTATTATTTTTTTAAATATTTGACATAATTAAATATATATAATAGTATAAAATACATACAATATATAATATTTACTTACATAATATATAATGTACAAATTATGATCCTATTATATTATTAAACATTATAGTTTATACATTTGAGAGTATTTGAATTTATAAAATCTATTGAATAAATTATGCAATATCATAATCAGTAACCAAGATATCAATGTACTGAGACTTAGACTAGATATAAGTAGTGATGGGATTCTTACCATAAAAAATTTTCGGTAAATTTTTTTATCAGTGTATATTTTTTTTACTAATTTATTACGACCACAATAACATGTTTATAACTCGGCCAACTAATACTACCACTGGATACTTGTCCCCACTTAACCTCATTATATTTAAATATGTATAAGTATGAGTAGTATAATGAATAAATTATGCACATTTTAAATTATTTGAACTAAGGAAAAATAACAAAAATTAACATATTATAAATATATTTATACTTAGCTATTTTACAGATACTGAGATACTTAAATTAAATAAAATGAAAATTTAATAGTTAAATGTATAAACCAATTTAAAGTATGCTTCATAAAATTCATCATCGCTCAAAATATTATGTTCTTCTGATAAGTTATCAGATTCAACTAGAACTTCTGTACCACATTTATATCATAATAATGGTGATAATTTGAACGGATTATACCATATTCTCGTAATATATTGACGTATCGAGGACGGATAACCTCATAGAATGGTACTAGTGTTAATATGCACATGAAAACATTTTAAATAAATGATCATTCAATTTTTATAACGGTAAAAAAAATATCGGTAAAATTTACCTAAGTTACTTTACTGGTAAAATTTACCAGTAAATTTACTGTGCTCCCATCTCTAGATATAAGTTCCTAACGTGAATAAACTTTCAGTAGTTCTTCTATGTACTTAATAATAATTATAGCTAGTTGATTTATTCTAAGCAATTATATATGTATGTATATTTATAACAGATCTAAAATGAAACGGTTAGTTTTTTCTTATCTATATTATGTGACACATATAATATAATCCAAAAAAATCATAAATAAAGTTAACTGAAAAATATGAAACATATTTATGCACAAGAGCTGGAAAATATAAGAGCAGTCAAAGTGTATTTACAATAATACACATAAGCATATGCAATAAACAGTTCATATTAGTTACAAATGTATTCCAAGGAAAATAAATGAGTACAATACATATTGAATAAATATAACTTATGTGGACTATAGAATATATAATTGTTCTTTCAAACTTAAAACATTAATAGATTCTTTAAAAAAAAAAAAAAAAAAATGTAACTATTATCAAACAAGAATTGCAAAAAAGTTTTTAAAAACGAATGTATCGTATAATCATGTACGTGATGAATTACTAAAAAAAACTCAATTCGTTTATGGTTCGTCAAACATATTGTTATCACTAAAGATAAAAACAATTAACATGAAACATTCTCTGTAAAATTATCAATAAAAATTAAAATATAAAATTGTTAAAATAGTATGCATAAAATGTGAAATATATAAATACAATAGATATTAATAATTTAAAATATTTGGAAAATGTACAAAAATAAGATACAGTTCAAATGCTACGAAATTGTCTTACGAACATTTTTCTTTAAAATTTCTTAAAAATGTTCACTTATTTAGACAGTTAAATTTTTAAAATATGAAACAATTCATAGAATCAATTAAGAACTAAATACTTCATGGCTTACAGACTCTGAATAACTTTAAAACTTGAGGCACTTTTCTAAAACATAGAATTTTTCCATTAACTCAAAAATATATATTAATTCGTATTTATATTTATATATATATTACGATACTACACTATCATATATTATAATCAAAGTCCTATTTCTCTTATTTTCTGTGATTAAGTATTTTTATTAGTTTGCACTAAAAGTGTCATGTGATGCAATTAAATTTAAAGCAGGAAATTAATAAAATAATGGTTTTCTCTAGAATTTTATCATATTGTAATGTTAATTGTATTTTTTTTCGAAGTTCATGAATTACAAATGCATTGTATTATTTACTCATTTAATAATATTTATTTTTTTAAATTATATTTTCTAGAAAAAAATTCTGTCTCGTAGAAATAAAGATATAAGTAATCACTATTTTTTATAGAATTTAGAAGGTTTAATATTTTTAATCCATCAACCCTTTTATTTTTTTATATAGATATAGGTATTTTTTTAATTTTTTTTTATTATTTGCTTATATAATTATTTGTATTAAAATAAAGAGTAAGATTACTTAATACTTAGGTCTATTAATACTTAATACTTAGATAATATTGATATAACTATTATTTTTTACAAAATATTTTTACATAGCTATGCAACTCTTTCGTATTATCTCTGATATGAATACATTATATTGTTCATTAAATTGTTTAAATATTATATAAATAAGTTATAGGTTACATTGATATGGAATTTTTAAGCAACTATAATAGGTTAAAATATGCTTAGAACTTGAAAAAAACATAATTCAAGTAAGAATTATACAAATGAACAAATGATAATTAGAAAAATAATGAGTGTGTGAATATATTCAATATTACTATACCTTATATAAATGATAAAAGTTTACTGATCAGAAATTGTCTGTATTAATAAGAATATTTAATTAGCATCGCCCTATTTTTAAAAATGAAATCAATCCATTTTTTCTGTAGTATTATTGCATTAGATATGGACATATATAAGGTCCTTTATAAGTTTTAAGCGGAGTGAGAAATGTATTGTTTTTACAATAATGTTTTTTTTTTTAATCAACACAATTTAGACCAGAATAATTGTTCCAATCATTAACTGTTTTTTCTTTCTAAATCAAATGTTGTCTATTGAGTACAATCAAAGAATCATTTTTTGAAAAATAAAATTTTTTTAAAATAATAAATAGTTACAAGAAAAACAACATTTACGGAATACATATTTTCGACAAAAATTTCAATTTTACTATTTCGGGTATTTCAACGAATTTCAAATAAACTATATTATTAAGTTACGTTGTTTTTATTCTTAAAATATTAATCATAAAGACATGAAGTATACACTATACATTTTAAAGTATTTTTATTTAGTAGAATAATAGATGGTTTTTCATAGGCACCTCATTCGTCTTTTTAGAACATTTAAAAAACAACCAAAAAAAATATTTATTGAAAAAGTAATTATGTGTAGACGTACGATACACACATTTCGAAAAAATAAGTGCAATAAGCAATAATACCTATAACCTAATATATAACCTATAATATAACCTGTACTTCACAGTATCACTTGTTATTATTGTAAATAATAAGCATATCATAATAATAATAATAACTATATTTTGTAATTTGTGTAAGCATATGGTGTTGTATTACACCTTCTTAATTAGAATTATTTGATATTTGGAAAACAAATTTTTGTTGACATGCTTAGGTTTATGTCGGAAAATTTAAAATAAACAGCAAAAAAAAATTTGTAAGTAATACATTTATAGTCGATGAAAACAATAGTCGAATTTTTGTTACTTATAACCATCAGTGGCGTATTTATAATTTAACTTAATAGAAGGAAATTAATCAAATTTACTCAACAATCCTACTTTTACCTATTATTTTTATAGTATATTTACTTTTTCAAGTAAATTAATTAATATTAATAATTTTAGTTTTTGTATAATACATATAAATAATGTATTTTATGAAAAAAATACCACATATACATAAACGTATATATACTATGTAATTATACCACTGCTTACTATATTCAATGTATTAAAGGTCAAACAAAGGTCATGGTTTCTAAGACCTGCTGAATCTAACATAGAAATATTTAATTATAATTAAATGACACAATTCCAATAATATATGTTGCTGTAATAAAATACCACAAACCAAATTTTTTTAACTGATAATAATTGTATTTTAATATCAGATTACTTTTATATTCGAAAGAACAAGACTTGGATTATACATACCTATAATATGTTATTTAAAAATCCATACGAATAGTTTAAAATAATTTTAACAACCTAACAAAGAATAATTAACATATGATATATTTTAAATAATAATTTGTATGATTTTTGACTATTGTAACTAAATAGTGATATTCTCTTAATTTCAATATCATAAATTGATACATAACGAGTATATTTTATTACTTTACTACAAACTTTATTATCTATAAAACATAAAAATATTGAAGTAAAATGCTTAATAAATTGTATTAAAATAAAACTTTCATAAAATATATATGCTATCATAATTTTTAAATGTTTGAAAATAATAAAATTTAAAATGTTTTCAACATATTCAATTCATTCGAAAACAAAATGTCATAAAACTTCTGGCATACTAACCTAACAAATAATTTCGTTAATAATGACAATACTTAAATTTACCGACAGGTGTATATATGTTAGTGGCCCTATACTAATTAAATAATAAGCTATACGTTCAATATACAATGTTTAAAGGATAAATATAATACATAAGTATCAAAGTATTTACTCTAATTAAATAAAGTTAGACATTTATTGGTGTAATCTAATTTTTTAAAAAAATGTATTAGTTACTAAGTATTTTATAAACTTATAATTTATTGTAAATGTTTTGTATTCGGGGTAGATCTATTACGAAGTATAAGTTATACAATAATTAATAACTAATTTTGAAATTGTATTTACACTAGTTAAAATACATTAATGGTTATAAATAATAACTCATAAATAAATGGAATTATCTACATTATAAATTATTAAGAAACATTTTTTA